TTTGTACGAAGAATCTTGTGTGAATCTGCTCACTACATATGTCAATACTACTTTACACTCATTTACTGCATTGAATGCGACTACAACGCGTTTTGCTTCGAATGATAGTATTGATTCAATTGTACAAGAAATGTTTATTGAAACATGCTCACCAAATATATCCTATGAACGATTCTTTGATGCATGCCATCCTCTTTCGTGTTTAGTTACATTGAACGAACGAAATAGTTTTATTCTTGTATTAACAATTCTTTTAGGTCTTTATGGTGGACTGACAACTTTTCTGAAACTTGCAGTTCCTTCTACCCTCTCTTGGATTTATGAACTAAAAGAAAGATGTAAACGACGCAACGCACAAATTCACCAAGATGCCTCATAAAATTTATGACATTCATGATAAAATATACGCATTGCAACGCAATACTTTGGATCGATTCACTTTTTTCGCTTTTTTGCTTTATCTGCTTTTATCTAATATATATTCATTCAAATAAAGTCTTTGCTTATGTAATTTCACAATAAAATTAAAGCTTCTCGTTTATATATTAGAATAATTTATTTAGCATGATCTAGGACAGTGAGCAGGAATAATATAATCACTATCACTTGCATGAGGAGTAAAATTATAAACCTCAATAGTGCGAGTAGAAAGTGCGACAAGCTGGCCAGTGCTTGTCACAGTTTCACGAGTAACAATATCCTCATGAACTAAAGCACACAATGGAACATTGCTTTTTCCATCAGAAAAATTTTGAGCAATAAAATTATGAGTAAGTTGGATGGTGTTGGCACCAGCAGTCTTGGTACTGTTGGATCTATATAACTGAGCTTCGAAGTGGACACCTATGCCAATGTTATCGATAAATTGCAATGCATCTGCGACACAAGTAATATGATAAATACCAGATGGTTTGGTAGTTTTCTTGCAGGTACATTGTTCAGCATCGTATGTAAACTCAAAACCAAGAAGAGATGTCTTGTCAGTTATGAAACCAAGAGTGGTTCCTTCAAAGAATGGCCCAGTACCGTATGGTTCTGCTTTAAAGTCGATACGATATCGGTAGTTGTCTAAATCGGGATAGTGTGTGTATGACATGATAATGTTGCTTGTAGCACAACTGCTTGTTGTACAATTACTTAAAGTGACAGAGAAATCGCGTACATTCACACGATGTCCTCTTGGCATGCAACAGATATTAGAATCTGCTACTACGACATTAACAAAAAGGAAAGTAATCCAGAAGATGATAACACCATTGTAGTTGATCATGTTTTATGTGAAAGAAATGAATCGAATCTTAATGATAAAATAATCTAAAAGCGACATAGTTGCAATGCAAAATAGTTAAAGTTGTTTAACATTTTTATTATAATTTCGACCAATTTTTGTCGAGTAGAATACTCCAACCAAATGAAAACATTAGGACTGCTCTACTACTAAGTAAAACGGTAAGTTTATTGTTTCGAAACCGAGTTATTGAAAAAGTACTGAAGATATTTAAAAATCTAGATATTTTGAACAGCCATCGTTTTGATTCAATTGCTTTATTGGTCGGATATCTCTCTACTGTTTTGGATCAAACTGGGCGAAATCTGATGAAGTACACGCAGATCGGTAAATACTTAGCATCAGTGGACCCTGCACTCTTAAACTCGGAATCAACTACTCAACATTTCACCGCATACTAGTGTTCTCATTTTCGAACTCTGGATGAAAAAACGAAGTTGAAGACCATTTTTCTATTTGTAGAGACTCACCTTGTAAGTGAAAAAGAAAGAAGTGAATTACTCGGGTCGTATAATGACAATGTCTTTTTTTTCTTAAAGAATAGTTCTTCATGAAAGGATACCTTATGTTTTTCGTTCCCAAGCACACCACTGCAATAGACAATCAATCTTCCTCCGCAGTTGCTCTATAACTACGAGTAAAGCAACAGATGACGAGAGCGATAACCTTCATTTTCATCATCGTTTTTATCCTTTGTAATCATGATTTATAACAAACAGTTAGTTTCTTTATGACAGAGGCCATGAGTAAGGACAAACACTATTACATCTATCTAAAATTTGTCGACTCATGGAGTGTGAGGCATAATGATATCAATTTGCATGTCATAGTAAATATCTTATATCTTGAGGGTGTTGGTTAGCAGAAGATTAAAATATGAATAGAATCCAGATTAATAAAGAATAAGACTAATCTATATACTTGTTTATATATTCTTTTCTTTTATTTAAATATAAAATTAATTAAAAATATCATCATCATATAATTCACCAGTATTTCGGTTAATCATACTGAGTCTTATTGTTACTTCTTTATCCATTGATGAAATTTTTTCATTGATTCCATCGGCTAATATTTGTATGGAGTTTGTATTATTAAGATTGTTGTCTACATAAAATAATACTTGACCTTGATTATTTGTATAAAATTCTTGATAATGATCATCTATTGTTTTAAATTGAACAGGTATATTTACTAAAGGATTCCAACGATAATCAACTATAGTTATTAATAATTTGTTTTGTTTATTTAATGAAATTTCATGTAAGATCCTAATGAACACAATTAAACTTATAATTGTAAGAAAACTAATGATTATTTGTCGATTGCATATAATCATTATCGCCGATAATAATGTATATCTTTATTATGTTATATAAAACTATTTCATCTTTCTGTTTTTCTTAAAAAACAATATATAACAGTTTTTTTTATATTAAATAATATACGTAAAGAATGAATATAAAAAATGTATTAGAATAGTGTGGATAAGATAAACGAGAGACACCCTGACCATCGATCCTGAGTGGTATAATCAGTATCTTCGAGATCTGTCCGACTTAGCGCATAGGATAGAAACCAACGGAAAAAAAACTAATCAAAACAGTAGGTGACCTAAGTAGGCAATAAAACTCGCAAGACATTATGAATTCTGTAACTTTCGATTCTTCACTAAAGAAAGTAGAGCATTATTAGAACTTTTTTCAAAACAAAACATTAAAGAATGCTAACACAGTAGTATTATTGTAAGTAAATATATACTGATTGCTATTAATCGATCCATAAACCTTTTTAAGTGTTAATGAATGTTTTTGAGATGAGTACACTTAACACCTTAAGTCAATCATACTCTTTCAAAATGTTAGATACAAAGTTTCGTAAGTGTTGATGAGGATGATTTACGTACGAGTTTATGAAGTAAAGTGTTTCTCGTATTAGCAAAATTCACTGGTACCTTTCAAAATTTTTTAATATGAATCATCCAAGAATGAAGCCATAAGATATCTCATTCAAATTATAAAAAATAACTGCACTTTCACACGTTTTTTTCTCTCAGTTCGAGAATAAGTAATAAAATACATAATAAATTTTTCATTTTTTTGTCACTTTTCATTAATTACTTTAGCAATAAATGATCAATGAAAATAAAACCTTTATTTTTAGTCTAAACTTATAGTAGATTCTTTACTGCTCATTACACTTTTATACGAATAATAAATGTTGTAAAAAATCGAATAAGGTGTTGTTGTTTTTGTTGACTCAATTGAGTTTACGAGTCGAATAAGTCAGTCGCTTAATGAAAGCTACATAAATAAAGAAATGCTTTCTGTTGACTTCATCAAAATGAGTAGTGGATTAATAAAAAAAATATAAATATAATGTAAATAGAAGCAGAATAACTATTTGATTTTTAACGGGAATAATTTTACAATAACACTTAAGTAAAGAAACCGGTACTCTCTGCTAAGCTAATCATAGTGAATAAACAAATAAGAAAAAAAAGAAATGTGTGTAAATAAAGATACAGTAAGTGTTGAAGAAAAGCATTACCCATTCTCTACCCCTTCCATTTTTATTCGTTCATTACGGGTAAAAGAAATACAAAAAGAATCGTAACCTCAATTTTTCTAGGGAAACAGAGAATTGTTGCAAAGATATATCAAATGTATTTCGTTTTGTACCTCATCTGACACTAACCACATGCTATTGTAACTTTCTTATCTGTATTATCAGAGTAGACGCAATGAGAGATACATGAAAAAATTCAATTTAATGCCTATCGAGCATATAAGTGAATTAACTGCTTATAAATTACTTTTCTTTCATTCTCTCAGTTCATTTCATATCATATTATTGATAGTAGGTATGTTTGAAGAAGATGAGAATATTTTTTCAGTTATGATAGTTACAATGAGACATTTTTATAGGTTAATCTTTACTTTGAGAAGAAAATGTTTTACATATATATTGAGTATGATGACCAAAAACCTTAGATTGAAATTTATCAAAATAAAATTGCAGCAGACTGAAAGCGTCAATAAACAATATTCATATCAGTTATTTGACCTTGACACTTGGTAAAGACAATACAGCCATATACAGGGGTGGCGCGACCGGGGGGGGGGGGTGTCGGGGGTGTAACACCCCCCCAATCTTTGAAAATTTCTATTTTTTGCTCAACAAAATCGGCAAATTTTCTAAAGTTTTTGAACAAAGATCATGCTACACCCCCTAAAAAATCAAAAAAATTTCGCTACACCCCCCAAAAATTCAAAAAATTTTCGTTACACCCCCCCAATGTTGGCTGACTCGCGCCACCCCTGGCCATATATAACTTTTTCACTATGATGAATAATAAAAAATATTATTTTTTTGCATTTTACAACGTTTTATATACAGTATATCGAATAAAATAACACGAAATAATCATTAAAAACTCTCAACCTCGTAACTGCAGGTTAAAAAAATCAAACAAAGAAAAAAAGATTCACTTTATATTATCATGCAAAATACTCTTTGGAACACGTAGGTAAAGTTGGCAGCGGATTCGAGTTTTTTTAGGAAATATTCGCTCACAGACTCCTGCCATCAGAGATATTGGTCCTGCCAGATGCAGAATCGAATATACCGTGGGATCCCTGCGTTTCAAAAAATTTTATCGTACCAAACGGCTAAAAAATTCAAAAAACCGCTAAAAAAGTACTTTTTTAAGCCAAAAAAACAGTATTTTCGCCTAATATTCGCTCTGAGAGGGTTGCCACTCGAGA